GAGAGAGAGAGAGAGAGAGAGAGAGAGAGAGAGAGAGAGAGAGAGAGAGAGAGAGAGAGAGAGAGAGAGAGAGAGAGAGATGTGTGCTCTGGACATCGGGTTTACCTGCATTCGATCTATAACCTTTGTTACCTGAAGGGTCTAGGGATGTTTCTTCTTTGGAAAGGTTCATGCTCACGACTCATTGGACACTTTTGCTGTTCACAATGTTTCACATTATGCATGAACTCTTCAGCAATTTGTTGCGATTGTAGGTGGGGAGCTCTTAGTGATGGTGCACTTCAATGATTTCGACTGGGTTGGCCTGCAGGTAAGGTCACGGTAAAAGGAGGGGCAGTAAAGCAGGTTAAATGCGAAGTGTTAAATCAACTGCCTAGGAGGCTTGAGCTGTAGCCCCTTCTGTTTTCCTCCCCGCCACAGCGAGTACTGCTCCATCTGTTCCTGCATCAGGTGGTCCATCTCACTCTGCACCCCTTTTATTGACACCCGCTCACTCTCACACTGGGCCCCTTTCATCAACACCCCTTTACTCCCACACTGCACCTCTTTTATCAACACCCTGTCGGATTCTCTGCCTCTCTTGCCAACACCTTCGGCTAGGCCATTTGCTGTTGATTTTCGTCAGCTCCCCCAATTCAGAGTTCGTACGCCATTTTGCATCACAACCTCTCTGAAGCTGCTTCTGGTTACTGTGGTCGTGGCTCTGCTGATATTGAGCAAGCCACACCAGCATGCTGGTAACGACGTCTGCAACAACTTTACATTTATGTTTCCAGTGTGGAGATAACAGGTGGCATTCGGGAGCTTGAATGCCTCATCGAAAACCTACCCATGTTTTATAGCTCAACCTTGTGACCCATTTACCTTACCAACCACAAGATGCCCGTACGTGAGGCAACCCTGGGAACGAAGTTGCGCCATGTACTACAGCTACCAGCAGTAATTGCATTGCACCCTGCCCCTCAACGGACATCAATGTGTCTGTTTGTGACAGATTGATGTCACCGATGCATGTTCAGTTTTCTAACTTCACTGGAGTGACCTTGAGTGTTGCTGCTGACACGACCTCACCTGACTCCGCAAACTGCGAATGTCCGCGGAGCCTTTCGTCATTGTTCTGATCTTGTGGATGGCCACATTGTGTCTGCTGACTTCAATATCATCTCTGATGATGGCCTGCATGATGGGGAAACTGTTGATGCGCTCCAAGTGCTGGCAATTGGAATTGACGAGTACATCTTCGATTACGAAAAGCTGTTGGCCACATAACCTGGACCTACTTCTTTCTTGTCTGTTTCCGATTAGCTGAGCAACTGGTAATATGCAATTCTCATGCATTGTCGATCCAACGTATCCACACCCTCTTATCGTGTGAGCAAACCGAGTTCCACACGTCTCGCGGTGCCATCTGCAACAACATTCGCCATGGTCCGTGTGAACGTAGTATAATTTTGGCAATTTGCTGGAAGGATCTGTTTCATCTCTTGGTCCATTTAGATGGGCCCGCTTATACCCGCCCTCCCAAATCCGTTGCTGATGTCTTTGGGAGCCATGCAGCATGGAGTCACCCTTGGGATTGCACCGATGCAGACACACTGCCTTTTCTCAAAGCTCATACGTCTCCAAAGGCTCGTCGCAGTATTCTCGGAGTCTTGACAGAAAATGATATTTCTGTTTCCCCACGTGCTCGCCCTCATCCATCAATTTGTGCCATTCATGAGTGACTTCTGCACAAACCGTTGGCTAGTACAACAATTCCTTTTTTGTTTTGTCAGTGCAGCTTCGCAGCGCGTGATCTCTACTGTGCACTCGATCAACAGGTCAGTGTTCAATGATGCTGGATTGTTCAGAGTGGCAATTAAGTGGCGCTCGACCTCAATGTTATGGATTCTCCCTTCATGGCCTCTCTCTGCACACTGTTGATTTCACCACAACGTACACCAACCTTGCTGATGTCTTCACTTGGAAGAATGACAAAAGCTATTGATGAAGCTCATGCCTATGGCCTTCGGCATACTGGCGATCGTTTGCACTGCAATGCCTTGGAAATGGTGGCCTCATTGTGGTCAATTGAAAGCTGATTCAGGTCCGCGCACTCTTTCGTTGAGTACATCTCCGCTTTGTTCTACAAAACATTCATCTGTACACTGCAGATGGCACACTTTGGGAGCAGATTGTCACGATTCCAATCGGAACGAGTGCCGTATTCTCCATCTGACGCTATATTGGACCAAAGTGCACTTCGCTGATGACATTCGCCAGCATGATCTCTGAGCCACTTAGAAATATGCTTTCACATATTGTGTCATTCACAATGGTCTTGCATGGGGGCGGTTGCCAGCTCTCGCAGAGCACGAAGGCCTTGAATGGAAGGGAACTGCAGCGCAAGATGACTCCTATACCTTCTTAGGTATGCAGCTAAGGGTCAACTCTGTTCGCTCGCTTCGCATGAGTGGCTTTGATAAAGCGACTGCCTGGAGCGTCCCTGTCGTTCTTGTAGCTCCGCTGCATGCATGCTATTGTGGTCCCTGCATCATCCAGTTTGTTCCTTGTCGCCATAAACCTCTTGTCCTGCCGTTGCTTGCTCATCTGCTATTTTGATAGACCTGTGGTTTCTACTTCTGCGGTTTCTACTGCTGGTGTTTTCACTGCATCACCTTCTATTCCTGCAGCTTCCCCTGTGGCAGTTCCCAATGCTACAGCTTCCTTTGCTAGGCGAACACCCCAGTCTCCCTGACACTCACTCCATCTATTTTAAACCCTTTGCCCAATCAACCCCTCTCTCCTCTCTTTCCGTGCTTGGCCACAGACGGCTGTGGTCCTCACCGCCTCGAAGAGGTCTCTCGTGCGAAGAGAGTCAAGAGACTCTCCTGTACCGACTGTTCTACCTTCATTGCCATAGACATGCACATTTCCACTTTGTCATCTTACTACTCGCCATACTGTGTTGTTCGACGGTGTGCAACGTATGGTTGCTCATCTGGGGATTGTTTCTCTGTCTGCCCGGTATCTCTCTGTCTCTGCTCCACAGGTTCTGCGCAATATCTGCTCCTCAATCTAGCGCTTTGCTCAGCTGTAGAGCGTAATGGTCAAAGCCTGCCTGACTGTGAGACCTACAAGGCGAACAGAGATG